GCTGACTTGCAGGCTTCATCGTCGGACAGCGAGGATGAACTGATGGGTCAGTATCAGGAAGCGGTCAGCCGCTCCCAGGGCCTCAGAGGAGGAGCCAAGGTGTCCTCTAATGCCAAGCACACTGGAGGTTTCAGCTGGGAGAGCCGGCAGAAGTACAGCCCGCTTACTGCTGATTATGATGGCTACAGCAGTGAAGCCTCAGCTGATGATGGTGGGTCCTCCCACATTTGACCGTCTCGCATGTTTTCCGTGTATCCACAGATTTGACACAGTGAGAAGTTCAGATATTTCCTTCATATCACCTCAGGGAGTTTTTGTTAAACGCTCACAGTCTTCTGCAGCTCCGTACCAACAAACACCATATGTGTAACACACACACTTATACACACTGTCAGTTAATCTAGAGAGGTGATCAAAGCGAGGCTGCCGTTCAGCACACTCTCCGTGGGAGGGTTGTGAAACAGTCAACTGTCTGTGCACAGCCGCAGCCTCGCACTCTTCCTTCTTTTTTTATAACACGTCTACGTTTCCCTTCTGCCCGACTCGCCATCGCTGCGATTGTTCTTCACCCTTGTCGAGGTGGGTTCAGTCACAGAAGAGCGCTGGCACTGACCTCCTTGGATTAGTTTGTTATTCATCTGACACGTTATTGGCCAAGAAGCATATCGTGTTGATTTAACGCTATAGAAAAAGCCACTCTTGACTTTCTCCTCAGTAAATGTTCACCCAACTTTATGCTTAAAAATAGCTTTGCATGGCATAAATGACAAGACTTGCTCTGCCTAAAATGAAGAGAATGTGCACATCAACACTTATAATGAATGTTTTTTAAGCTCGTAGCTTCCTCAGGTGCTTCTTTCACCTCTACATCCAGCCTGCCATCTAACCCTGTAAGAAGCATCCTACACTATGCCCATAAATGTGAAACTAGCCCTTTAGGGAAAGCAAATAAGCAAATGTATCTGTTGCATAGAGAAGAAAACTGTCAAATTCATCTAAAAGTCTCCGATTGATTGATTGTTTTTCCATCCTGCAGAAATATATCGGCAGTGCTGATATACCCAGACAGGAATGTTTGTGTCTGACAGTATTTTTCAAAGACAAAAACAATCTAGTCTTTGCCAGGGTCCTTGATTGGTGAATCACGTCTGAACCAGTTTTTTGTGTTATATAAGACAGTGGGTTCAAGTGCCGGGTGTCTGGCACAGTCTATTTAAAGCCGCGTTTGAATGCGTAGCTGGGGGAGAAGTAGTACATGGCGTGCTTCTGACTCCATTAGCAGAGAGGCAACGGACTGCACAAGGTTGTTGTTGAAGAAAAGCAGAGCGTCTCCTGATATCCACTAGATGGTCTCTGTTATCTTCAGATGATGCTTTGAATTTTTAGGTCACTGTAGAAAATGATCCCACATGGGGAAATGAGTGCTATTCAGTAATATTATACTCCAGGATTTTCAGGTAACTCTTACTAGCAAAACTTTAGAATGAATTTATATTTAATCTGCCTTCATTTAGAGACACGAAGGAGCCAACTAGAGAATATTGTCCCAAAGGTAATCATCGAAATCTGAATTTTGTTTCTGGTGCCTCAAAT